TCCCAATTTTAAGGGACGGACAGCCTTAAAGTGTTACAAAACCCACAACCGTAAAATCACTCTGTATATTTAGTAAAGCATTCTTGTTATACTCACTGTGGAACCTAATGGGTTAATCCTCTACATTGTGTAAAAAGACAGCATGATCCTGTCCTCTACTGTCCCCAGTCCCATCTGCTGATAGTACAGAGCCCTAGGAGTCTCTCTGCACATGCTCAGTTAAGTGCATATTGCTAGGGAGTTATTTTACTTTTTCTTCGGGTGGGTGCATGTCTTCAGCACAGGGCCAATCAGCACTGTCCAGACAGGGTCAGGGGATATAATTGTGCGGTCATGCAACACTGTACACAATGACATTCATATAATTGTTTTCAACAAAAATAGAGCTTTCTTTTGGTGGTATTTGATCACCACTGGGTTTTTATTTTGTGGGCTACAAATGAAAAAACGTACTTTTTGCTATTAAACATATCCCATAAAAAATTATATTTCTTAATAAATTTAGACCAAAATGTATTCTGCTACATGTCTTTGGTAAAAAAACAAAAAATGCAATAAGTGTATAATAATTGGTTTGTATGCAAATTATAGCGTCTTCAAATGACAGTATATATTCTGGAATCTATTTTTTTTATATACTAGTAATGGCGCCAATCAGCATTCTGACACTAACTGACACTGGGTGGGAACTAACTGCCACCGACATCTCCAGTGACACCGATACAGTGATCAAATAAAAAGCACTGACACTGTACTAATGGCACTGGGCAGGAAGGGGTTAACATGTGAGTGGTCAAAGAGTTAACTGTGTGTTAGGGAGTGAGATTACTGTGTAGTGTGTTGTTTTACCTACTTTGCAGTGAGATAAAAACTGGCACATCCCTGCTGACAGGAGATAGATGTTGTTTACATACACAGATCTCTCTCCTGTCAGTTTACTCCGCCAATTGTAAACAGCAGTAGCTACAACTACCTCTGCTCCGATCCCTTCATTGGTGTCTCTGGGAAACGGAGTGCCCCATCACCGGCATCTGGGAGAGAAAGAGCAGCCCCCTCACCAGCGACAGAGGGAGACGGAGGGCCCCCCTCACCGGCGGCAGAGGGAGACGCAGGGCCCCCCTCACCGGCAGAGGGAGACGCAGGGACCGGGGAGACGCAGGGCCCCATCACTGGGGTGTGGGGGGGGGGATAGTGACTTGTATCAGTGGATTAAATAGTGCCCCAAGAGCCAGATAATGGCAAGAAAAGAGCCAGTTTGGAGACCGCTGCCCTAGGGGGCTGGAGCATAGGTGGGAGTGTAGAGGAGGGGGTGATAAGGTGGGAGTGTAGAGGAGGGGGGCGGGTGATAAGATGGGAGTGTAGAGGAGGGGGAGGAGAGGGTGATAAGGTGGGAGTGTAGAGGGGGGGGTGATAAGGTGGGAGTGTAGAGGAGGGCGGGGGAGTGTAGAGGAGGGGGGGGCGGAGGGGGTGATAAGGAGGGAGTGTAGAGAAGGGGGGGGTGATAAGGTGGGAGTGTAGAGGAGGGGGGCGGAGAGGGTGATAAGGTGGGGTGGGAGTGTAGAGGAGGGGGTGATAAGGTGGGAGTGTAGAGGAGGGCGGTGGGAGTGTAGAGGTGGGGGGGGCGGAGGGGGTGATAAGGTGGGAGTGTAGAGGAAGGCGGTGGGAGTGTAGAGGAGGGGGTGATAAGGTGGGAGTGTAGAGAAGGGGGGCGGTGGGAGTGTAGAGAAGGGGGTGATGAAGGTGGGAGTGTAGAGGGGGGCGGTGGGAGTGTAGAGGAGGGGGTGATAAGGTGGGAGTGTAGAGGGGGGCGGTGGGAGTGTAGAGGAGGGGGGTGATAAGGTGGGAGTGTAGAGGAAGGCGGTGGGAGTGTAGAGGAGGGGGTGATAAGGTGGGAGTGTAGAGGGGGGGGTGGGAGTGTAGAGGAGGGGGTGATAAGGTGGGAGTGTAGAGGAGGGCGGTGGGAGTGTAGAGGAGGGGGGGGCGGAGGGGGTGATAAGGTGGGAGTGTAGAGGAAGGCGGTGGGAGTGTAGAGGAGGGAGGTGTGATAAGGGACAGGGAGTGTAGAGGAGGAGGGTGATAAGGTATAACGCTTGTAGGGTGAGGTTCCACTTTAACTCTCTCTGTGAAGCTGTGAAGCATGAAAGTTCAGGGAAGCGGCACTGAGCAGAAGCCAGTGGCATGGAAAGCTGTAAACTGCCAGTGCTGGGTAAGAATTTTCGCACTTTGCTGGGCAATGTATTTTGTGGGCTGAACGGGTAATCTGTAAATACACGGAGGGCTGAATCGTGCTTCTACTGCACTACAACATCGTATGAAAGGCAGTTGAGCCCACTAATTCCCCCACAAGGACGTCATGGGACTGCGCAGCACGGCGTCTTACCTCCACAAATATAGATCATCGGCTGCTGCTTGGGAGGTGGAGCGTCCTTCGGTCCTTCCATCCCCTAAAACATGACAATAGATGGTCACTGCATACAGCCAATACACACGGTCCGCTCCTACCAGCAGCTAACACACAGACACTGCCGGAATCTACAATCACCTACCGCTCAGGCCGGCACCAGCTACACACAAACGTGCTCAATACACCGAGCCGCTCAGTACTGACATCACCAGAAGGCGCCGCGACCTATCCCCCCAGCTGCGATTGTTGGGCAGGGGCGTGGTCGGCCATCTTTGTGTTGGGCAAGTGCTGCTCTGTGCCAGTAGTGGAGCTGCGGTGGCAGCTGCAACAAAAAAACAATCGCGGAGCTAAATATTTATCAGAAAGTACAAATAAACACGTTTGTTGGAGAGTTACTAGGAACTCGTTACTTGTAGCGGAGTATTGTTTCACCTGCTGAAGTGCACCACTACTATAAACCATATCCAATACAAAAAAAGTGAAAAATCAAATTTCTTCATAAATGTAGGCCAAAATGGATTCTGCTACAATAAAAAAATCCCAGTAAGCGTATATTGATTGGTTTGCGCAAAAGTTATGTCTACAAACATGGTATGGTATATATTGGAATTTTTATTTATTTTCGTTTATACTAGTAATAGTGGCGATCAGTGACTTATAGCAGGACTGCGATATTGCGGCAGACAATCTGACATACTGACACTTTGTGGGAACCAGTGACACCAATACAGTGATCAGTGCAAAAAATATACACTGTCACTGTGCTAGTGATACTGGCTGGGATTGAGTTAAACATCTAGGGTGATCTAAGGGTTAACTGTGTGCCTAACCAGGGTTTTTCTACTCTCTTTTTACTAAGGGATGTACTGGATTTTATTCCCTTTGCAGGGAAACAAAATCCAGCACATTGCCACTGACAGGACACAGGTCTGCCTTGTTTAAATAGGCAAAGCTGTGCTCTGTCTCTCTCCTTGCTGATCACCGGGTGCCGGCAGTGATCCACCGATGCACCTCTTCAACCAGGAAGTGCAGAATCATATATATATATATATATATATATATATAATTTTGTGTGTTTTTGCACAGTATGGCAACTGGCTGTTTACCTTAGGTTCAATTTCAGTGTGTTTCCTGGTCTGAACATGCGCCAATCCATTTAACATGATTTCCTATGGATCTAGTTTACATTTCTGTGTTTGGAGCCAGTGTGGATTTTTGAAAGGGTCAGGGACTTTTTTTTTCCCGCAGTAGATTGTGTTTAACAAACTTCAGTGGAAAAATGCAGGTGGTGTGTTTTTGAAGCATGTTTCATTTTGCGTTTTGTGCTTTGTGTGACTTTAAGCTGGTTGTTAAGGAGCACAAGTCATCAGCTGTCAGAGGAGTTCCCGCTGACAAAAAACTGTGGTTTTTTAATTTTTCTTTTGAATTAAATTTTTTAAATAAAACAATTGCCAGCAATTAAAAATTCAGGGAAAAAAAAAAAAAAGTGTGGGGTCCCCCCCAGAGTAACCCCCATTCCCTTTATGATGTCATCGACTTTGGCATGCTGGGTCAATGATGTTACAAGTGACTGGGGTGACCCGGTGACGTCATCGGGTGGCCCTGCCCCTTAGTTTAAGAGCTTTTTTTGGGTCGGCGGCCAGCGTTCGTCGTGATTGAAATTGGATCTACTTTGGGGAAAATTTTTTAGTTTATTAATTTTTTTAAATAAAGGACTTGTCAAAAACTGTTGTTTTTTTTACTCACTTTTTTTGGTGAATGAGTAGGTATACCATGTACACCAAACTTATTCACATGGGGAGGCAGGGATCTAGGGGCCCCTTATTTTTTGTTTTGTTTTGGGAGTTTTTTCAATCATGGCATGGGGTTCCCCTTAAAATCCATACCAGACCTAAAGGGCCTGGTACGGGTAAGGAGGGACCCCATGTTGTTTTTTTCCTAAATCTTCAATTTCAGGTAATTGTTTTGTTTACATTTTAGCTGTCAGCAGAGAGCCCCGCTGACAGTTGATTCATTGGATAAGGATGCGGCAGCCGCCCGCTTCTTGACAACCATGCTAAAGTCACACAAAGCACAAAATGCATTAAAAAACGCATAAAAACGGATGTGAAAAAATGCACCCAGAAAATGCTTCAACCGCAATCTGCATAGATGTGAACCTAGCATTCATCTGTGTGAAAGTTATAGAGTCTGCAAACAATGGAATTTATATCTGAGAATTGATCAGTTGAGACCCTAAAATGACGGACATTGGTAGGAGGTTAGGTATGGCGCTGGTGATCAGGACGCTGGTGGTATGAGGTATGGCCCTGATCAGGACGCTGGTATGAGGTATGGCCATGATCAGGGCTCTGGTATGAGGTATGGCCCTGATCAGGACGCTGGTATGAGGTATGGCCGTGATCAGGCCGCTGGTATGAAGTATGGCGGTGATCAGGACGCTGGTATGAGGTATGGAGGTGATCAGGACGCTGGTATGAGTTATGGCCGTGATCTGGATGTTGGTATAAGGTATGGCCATGATCAGGACGCTGGCATGAGGTATGGCGGTGATCAGGATGCTGGTTTGAGGTATGGTGGTGATCAGGACGCTGGTATGAGGTATGGCGGTGATCAGGACACTGGTATGAAGTATGGCCGTGATCAGGACGCTGGTATGAGGTATGGCCGTGATCAGGACGCTGGTATGAGGTATGGCCGTGATCAGGACGCTGGTATGAGGTATGGCAGTGATCAGGACGCTGGCTGGTATGAGTGTATGGCGTGGATCAGGTATGGCAGTGATCAGGACGCTGGTATGAGGTATGGCCGTGATCCGGATGTTTGTATGAGGTATGACCGTGATCAGGACGCTCATATGGCACTGATCAGGACGCTGGCATGAGGTATGGCGGTGATCAGGATACTGGTATGAGGTATGGTGGTGATCAGGACACTGGCATTGGGTGACCAGGACACTGGCATTGGGGTGACCAGGACACTGGCATGAGGTATGGCAGTGATCAATATGCTAGTCTGGCAGTGATCAGGATGCTGGTATGAGGTATGGTGGTAATCAGGATGCTGGTATTACATATGGATTATTAGAACGCTGGTATGGTGATCAGGGTGCTTGTATGGCATATGGCAGTGATCATGGCACTGGTATGGTGCTGATCAGGACATTAGTATGTTATTGTGAAACACATGTGACATGTGCTGGCTGCAGTTTTTATTAGGACTACATTGGGACAGTGATCAGGGACACGGGTGGCTGGCACTGCAGTCTGTGAGTGTAAATGCAGCCTGACAGGCTTCTGTACACTCACAGGCTGCAGCGTCTTTACTTTCACATTCTACTGCTTACTATGTGCTTGGATACAGCAATCACATGGTAAAAAAACATGAGATCACCCGGACACAGCGGTCATGTGATCTACTGTGTCCGGGTGACACACGAATCGATCGCTGGGTTTGCGCTCTGTGGCAGGAGCCATGCAGGATCCACTGATGTGGGCTGACATACAGGTACGTTAGCTCAGATCGGCACTACTTCCTGTCTGCTGTTTATAGACAATGGGTGGACAGGAAGCTGTTAATGAGTACCTCTTTTCTTTTTTTGGGGGGTGAAGGCGGTCTTTTTATCCTTTTTATTTTTTAGCTTTTTTTCTCTGTTTCCTCTTTTTTCCTCCATTTTTCAGCATCAATAGATTTTTATCTAGTATTTTTTCTACCTTGTTCATGCTGTGCAATTTTGCCAGCCCTGATTCCAGTTTACTGCTAGTTTGGTACTGGTTCGATCCCAATGTATTTTCTCATTTTTCTCCTTATGCACCACACTCTATTCCCTCCCCCTCCAGACATGTTATCTACAGCTGCACTTCAGGCCAGCCTGACATCATGGTGGCAGCGGCCCCGCCGCCTGTCATCTTCCTGTCGCTATGCAATCTACCACCACACTGCGCATGTGCGGGCAACACAACTATCATTGATTGGACAAGAGTGGAGTCGCCTGGCACCGCTAAGCCCCGCCAGCTATATTTACCGATTGCGCACATCTGGCTGATGGACCAGATCAACTTTTCCATCTCCTAGGCACAAAAAGCAAAGTAAAAAAAAACTGTGGTTAAATTGTAAAAAATTAAAGTTAAAAATCCTGGTTTCAGTTGAATGCTGCTGCCAAACTCATGCTGTATCCAATCACAGCACAGGTGAGCAAGGGATGTGCGCATGCACACCACAAACCTGGGAACAAGCTGACAACATACATGAACATTGTTGAGCATGCCCTTTGAGTCCCGATCACAGTAGATTTACTGTGAGCTGTCAGCAGGAGGTTAAGGAGCATTCTTTTCTTTGTAAATACCAGTTTTGCTGTGGCAGGCTGTATACATCAAACAAATATGCCACTTCATAGGCAGGTTATGGGCTCTTCCAGGCATTTTATTTAAAAAATAAAATATTCTTGCTCTTAATGCATTTTCAAAACTGCTGCAAGCCGCCAAGTTGGTTTTAAAAAAAATAATTTTTCCACTCCCATTGACTTCATTGGGATTCAGATTTGACACCCAGACTATTATTATTGTTATTATTATACAGTATTTATAAAGCGCCAATAGTTCGCTCAACGCTGTACATTACAGAGGGGAACAGAACATGTGACAGAACAATACCAATACAATGCAAAACATGAGGGGATCGAGGGCCCTGCTCTATCGAGCTTACAATCTAGGCCTAATGACATTCTGTTACTCCATTTTGAACTGAACCCAAGTACATTCAGCTCCTCCCTAGTGCTGACTCCCATTGAAATCTGTGAAAGCTAAATGATTGAAAATGTGTGATATCCAGGATGGAATTTCTCCTTATCTTCTATTTACTGACTAATAATTCATCTTTGTGTTTATGTTTTAGGAAAAATTTTATACAATTACTTTCATTCCGTGAGTTGTGGACATTTTGTATCCGTCAGGTAAGACAAAAATATAAATAATGATAATGGATGCTTTTGAAAGTTTTATTTCATTTTAAAAAGGAGAAGTATGGATCACAGGAGTGCAGTTCATTCTGCACTACTGTCACTCCAGGATTCAGGTCCTGGCTGTGAATGAGTGACACAACCAGGTGGGTCCCCCAGCCACAAGCGTATCAACGATCAGGGTAGAGAGTCAATGATATTGGCTGTTTACCACATGATCGCTGTGTCCACTTAACAGCAATCTTGTGGTAAACAGCCAATGTCATTGGCTCCTTACCCCGATCACAACTGTCAACAAAGACCAGTAACTCGCTGTTACCAGCTTCTACTCCTCACACACTGATCCTATGTGAGGAGAAGAATCTGGGACCAGTAAGTTACCACATTAACCCCTTGCTTATTGTGCTCATCAGTGCCCTGATTGCCCCATAATAAAGAATACCTGTCACAGAAGCCATCAGTGTACCAGTCAGCGCATCCATCAGTGCAGCCTATCAGTGTACCGGTCACCATAGCCTTTAGTGCAGCTCATCAGTGTACCAGTCACAGGGCCACCATCACAGTCACCCATCAGCATTGTACCCATCCCAGCCACCTGAAGGTGCTCCTTGGATGTTTCTATATGGATAGGCTGTGAAAAAGTCTCACACATGTAGTATCCATACTCAGGAGTAGAAAAAATGTGTTTTGGTGTGTAATTGCAAGTATGCCTATTCCATGCATGAGAAATAACTTGGTAATATGAAAATGTTTGTGGAAAAAAAAAAAAGGATGGACTTTATTCAGTTTACAAAGAATTGCAACTTCAAAAAAAAAAAAAAAAAAACTCACCATGCCTCTTACTAAATACCTTGGGCTGTCTTACCTTCCAAAAAAGGGGGCATTTGGGGGATACTTTCCTGGCATTTTTGGGCCTCAAAAAAATTAGATAGTACATCAGGATTGATCAATTTTCAATGATACATACCATAGCTTGTAGAATCTATGTTCACACAGACTAAATAATATACACTGATGTGGGTTATTTTTACCAAAGAAATGTAGCAGCATACATTTTCACCAAAATTTATGAACAATCACTTTTTTGCAAAATTTTTATAATAGAAACTGAAAAAAATCCTTTTTTTTTTGCAAACTTTTTTGGTCTTTTTTAGCTTATAATGCAAAAAAAAAAAAAATTAAAAACCCAGTGGTGATTAAATACCACCTAAATGATACAAATTTTGTTTGTGTACAATGTTGCATGACTAACTGTCAAAGTGTGAGAACACTGAAAGCTGAAAATTGGACTGGGCAGAAGGGGGGGGGGGGGGGGGGGGGGTAAAAGTGCCCTGCACTGAAGTGGTTAATAATGTTACCAAAATTAGCATGTGCTGAAAATTGCCTCCAGCATTGTTCCTGTATCTTCTTGTCTGAGGCTGCCATTTTCCTGAGCAGCAGTAAACATTTGGGCTGCCAGTAGACCAGCCTCTACATTTTCAGCACAGTGCCAAAAAATAGAGAGCAACTGAGCATGTGCAGAGCAGGGTGAATCAGTGTACTACTGGATTTTAAATGGTATAGGCACTTATTTTTAACGTTTTACATAGCTATACCTGTAAAAAAAAAAAAAAAAAAAAAAAAAAGGGCCAACATGAAGACATCTAGCGGGCCACTTTTTGGCTAAAGTTCCACTTTGTGTCCTTCAATGAACTAAGAACAAAGCAAAACTAGAACCAGGGCCAGCAACTCAATTAATACACAAGGGGAGGAGGCAACACCAAAAGGAAGGGCAACAATTTGGTAGTACTTCTCCCCTATTGCGAAGTACAGAAAAATTGGATTTTTGTACTCCCCATTAAATCCTTGTTCTCAGAATTCATTGAAGGACATGAATTTCTCATGGATGGGTTGATGCCGCCACCTTCAGGAGCAGAACGCTAGTGCAACTTAAACTAAAAGCTGGCTTAGGGAGCTGCCCTCTGATGGTAGTCAAACGCCCCATCTGCAACCCAGGTTTCAGTTAGTAGCCTGCAGCAGCAGGGCAACAACACCAAACAAGACTGAGTGGGTGCCGCTTCCTTTAATGAACTCAGAGAAAAAGGATTTTACGGTGAGTACAAAAATTTAAATTTTCTCTATTGTTCATCGAAGCACAATGAATTTCTCACGGATTGGACATCCCAAAGCTGTGCCGGAAAGACAGAAGGGGTGGGCCCACAAGCACACAACAGAACTAAGAACTGTTCTCCTAGTCTGAATATACCTGACCAATCATGTCCACAATGAAAGCAGTCACAATGCCCCGCCAACCATAAGCAGCTGAGGCATTCTCTGTATACAGGGTGATTGAAAAGTAACTCCTTATTTTAAAAATCTTATTTATTTTTTTAATCATTTTTACAAAAAATGAATATGAGAAGAACACACATAACATGGAGTTTTATTTCAAATTCGATAAGTGCACCAGCAATTGCCTGCAGCTTCTGAAGCCACTCGGGAATCGCATCAACTGATCTTCGCAAGAATTCTTGTGGGATAGCAGAAATAACTTCTTGTAGTCGCCCTTCAAGTTCTTCTAAAGTCTTTGGTTTCGTAAAGTTGTTCCTTCAACCAACCCCAAAGAAAAAAAAGTTTAATCAGGGCCTCTGGCCGGCCACTCATGTGGACCAAGTCAACCCAACCATCTCTCAGGAAAATGTTCATTCACCCATTCATGAATAATAGCAAAATGTGGAGGAGCACCATCTTGCATAAAAATCAAGTCTTCAATATTCTCCCAGGTATTGACAACTGGCCAGATTTCATCTTGCAGCATAGTGAGATACCATTCGGCATTCATAGTATGACAGATTTAATTGTCATAGATTAAGGAACATACATTAAAGAAATGAGTAAAAAGTAACTTCATATAAAAAATGTATAGTTTAAAATAGGGAGTTACTTTTCAATCACCCTGTACATGCAGCTGTGGTACAGAGAATGCCTCGGCCACACATGATTAGCGG